TTATCTTTCTTTTTACCTTTTTTTCTTTTTTTGACCACCTTGTTGTAGAACCGATTGCATTCTCATCACCTATCAGCATTTAGAAAGCTTGAAAGATGCGTCGCATCGCTCTCTATGCGTTATTGCCGCTGCAAGTGATTATTATCGCTATAGAATTGATAGCTGCGGTTGATATTAGGGTGGTTGAATAAATTTCTTTAATTTATTTCTATTTCTCCTTTTTTATTTTTCTACTGAACTGGCAATCACTTGTACACATAAAATCAAAATTTTTAAATTTAACAAAATAAAATGAAAGGAATTAAATAAAATAAAATGAATTAAAATAAAATAAAATAAATTAAAATAAAATAAAATAAATTAAAATAAAATAAAATAAAATAAAATAAAATAAAATAAAATAAAATAAAATAAAATAAAATAAAAAACAAAATAAAATATACTTAAATCGAAATAAAATAAGATAATATAAAATAAACTAAAATAAAATAATATAAAATAAATAAAAATGAAGAGTATAATATAAAATAAATCAACTTGAATAAAATTGAAATCAAATCAATTAAAATAATATAAATAAAAAATGAAACAGAATAACTTCAAATAAAATAATTTAATTTAAAATAAAACAAAACAAAATAAAATAATATAAAGCTAAATAAAACAAAACAAAACAAAATAAAATAAAACTAAGCAAAATGAAAACAAAAAAATAAAATAAATACAATTAAATAAAATAATATATAGTTTATATTTATATAAAGTAAGAGAAAAATAAAATGAAATAAAATTTTTTTTAATTTAGTTCAAGATCTATTAATAAAAAGTAATACCAATTTAATAATAATAATGATAGCTTAGGAATTTTAACAAAAATTTATTTGCAGTGGCGCAACTAAATATTCGTTTTATATAACATTTTCTATTAAAAAAATCGAGACTTTTACTTTTAAATTTTAATCCCTTCGATAGATGGCAACCAGAAATCTCGAATTTTCACAGGCATTTAAACCGCCCTAATAAGGCCTAGCCTATTTATTGTTTTTGTTGCTGTTCCAGCGCCACTTTTACCAAATTGATTGTTGCGGCTACGGTAGACACACTACAAACAGCATAATTGCGCACGAATCGGGTTTCAGTTTAAATTTTCATGAACAAATCTTGATGCAGCTAAATGTATTTATGTAGAAACTGAAACTTTTTATTTTTTGTTCATTATTTAAGAGTTGCGAGCGTTTTGACATTTGTTTAATTTTTTTGAATTTTTTTTTAGACATTTTAAGCAATTTCAGCCGCCTCGTCCAGAGCTTTTACCACTTGGAAAATCATAAATAATGTAATTATAAAGAATTTTCAAGCGTCAATAGCCGCATCTGAGTAACAAACTCACAGTGATCAACCATAAAATCTAACATACATACTATACTGTACACGACAGCAGTGTGCATTTAATGGCTTCTTCAAAAATTAAGAAAGGGAAAAAACAAAAGCTCACGAATCTTCGAAATGTCCATAATTCATTGAAGGTAAGCACGCGCAGTGAAAATGTCATAATTTCAAGAGAAATTTGAGATGTTTATTTTCACCGAAAAAACATTGCTACTTAGTTACAAAAAAAGTTAAAAAAACAACAACCACAGTATATAAGTAATGTCAAGTTTTACCCAAAAATCGTTTGCAAGTAATTGGTACTATTAAAGAAAGAAATACGACACTCAAAGTGAAAATATTTAAAGTGTATAAGTATATAAGTATGTATGCATGTACAGATACATATATCTAAAAACTGTCGTTAAGCAAATTTCTTTGTTTTTCTAGCGAGTTGATTGTGTAAACAAAAACAAAGCTAATACAATATATTAAAAGTTGTAACCAGAGCATTGAATAATAACTAAAAAAAAACCAAAAAAATAATAATATAGTATATTATACCATGCTGTTAGTGTTTAAGAGAGTCATGGCGCTTAAACCCATTAATTTATAATTACTTAGCCCTAAGAGCATTAATGTACGAGTATGTATGTATGTATGTACACGTGCGTTTTAAAGCAACACGTGACTAGCGGCATATTTAACTAAAGACTTTGGTATGTTTGTGATATGTCTTGACAAGTGTTGTCTTGCACGTATTCATTTACTCGAATATTGAAAAATATTTTATGAAATTTTAATTAACTTTTTACGTTAATTTACCGCCTACGGCGTGGGTTTCAATGGAATAGTTTGAAGATTTTTGGCTTTAAGTCGAGTACACATATATAAATATGTATGATTGGCGCTTGGTAACCGTTGTAGCGATTTTCGGCCGAATCACTCTTCCGATTTATGGCGAGCGTCTTGGTGTTTTCCCACTTAATGGAGGTACCTATGGTTTATTACTTCGAGCTGCTGATGGGTTTTTATGAATAACTCTTCATTTCATATCAGAAATACACCCGGTGGGGTTGACAGTCTCAGGCGAGAGGTGAGCGCAATTAGGAAATTTAATTAATTTTTTTTATTTAAATTCATTTCAGCAGTTCATTTTTTTTTTTGATTTCCTGTCATTAAATTCCGTAGAAAATTTTAAAAATGCAGTACATTTTTAATCTACAAATATAATATTAATTAAAAAAGTTTTTAATTTTTTTTTATTTATTTAAATTTTTTAATTCTTTAAAAATATTGTAATATGTTATATATTCTTTAAGAAGTAACAGTGGTTATTTCTAAAAAACTACAATTTTTACCAAGAAAATTTAATGTAATTAAAATTTATCGGCTCGAAAACCGTGCTTAACCCTTATAGGCTTCTAGTGAGAGATTTTGTATATGTTAATTTATTCCTATACAAAACAACAAGAGAACAGACACGATTCGTGAAACTAAAATGTACAGAATGCAGAAATTGGTGCATGAAATGGAGCTGTTGGTACGAGTAAGTGATGTGAAGAATAAAAAACTTTGTACGTCGCTCAAGAAAAACCGAGCATATTGCTGCTGTAGGCCAAAGTGTTGTAGGAAACCCAGGTTTGCATTCCTCAAACGTCATTACACTATAAGGTCTTAGGACTTATAAGGTCCAGTTTACACAAGAAATCCAGCCGGCTGCTCATCAACAACGTCGGGTCTTTGCTGATGGATGCTTGATATGCATGGAAATCATCTGGAATTTCATTGAAAAATCATCTTAACTAATGAGATCTATTTCCGTTACGATGGCTCTCGAAGAGGTTATAACAATTAGCCACCGAGATCTTGTGATTGAAATTTCTTCCTTGGAAGCCCAGCGTGCCAAAGCAGGTCAACGTCAATCCAAGACCTCAAAAATGGAATTCGTGAAGCTATTAAGGACATACGGCAGCCACTTGGCGATTTGGTGATGATGATGATGAAGATGAAAATTTATAAAAGGGATAGGGTTCTGTAAGCGTAGTTGTGGCGCCCATTATTATTAACAGCATTTCTGCCTCTCTACATTGAAATAAATATCCAATCATTTATCTCAAAAAATTCCAACTTTTTTTTGAATATCAAAATACCGCCTCTTATTGGAATTCCCTGTATTTGGTTCTGGCAGTATTATTTGATAATTAATGCAGTTCACACTGGCAGCCAATTAGCTAATTAAAGCATTTTTCTAAATTATTTATTTAGAAATTTTAATAGTAAGCTGGCAATTAATAACTAATTGGCTTAAAATTGTCATAAATTTTCCCATACAACCCTGTGGAGTTTTACCCAGTAGAAAATCAAAGAGTTTATTTAGCGCACAAACGAAATTCATTGAGGGGTAAAGCCACTCTAGAGAAATATGGAACAAGGAATAGAATTTCTGTTTAACCATTTCATTGAACATACATTGAAGTACAAAAAAAAATATTCTTTAACTATAATTTTGTTACAAAATATTACTTAATCCATATTTGTTCAGAAAGGCGTGCACGGGAGGACTGATTTCTTCTAAAGGATGAGACCTAGAACAGAAAGGCAAAAAGCTTTATTATCTTTAGAAGCACGAATTTATTATTTAGCTAATTTTTACGAAAGCAGCCAACTTTTTCTTTTAAAAAATTTATTTTTGACTAAAAAAAATTACGCACTCAGTTGTTAAAAAAATTTAGATTCAAGCAAAAAACGGCTACGTACTTCCAAAAGAATTTATTTGTTAAGCTACCATCAGAATTTTAAATCAATCGATGGTGCTAATAATCTGTCCTTCCAGTTTGAAAAATGTGATTTTAAGAAAAAGCGTTTAGAGTTTTTATCGTACTCAGCGCACGCTCTGAGGGACTGCAGCAAAATTAAAAGTTTAGCTATTTGAGATATTTTCTTCACTTTAAAACCAATTGCATATCGTTTCTAGCACCCAAAGGTATCCTGTAAGCGAAAAAAATTGCGCTTAAAAAATTCTTGAGTGGCTTTACCCCTTAAGTTTAAAGTACATATTACCTTTTTTCGAAGAAAACATAGTTAGAATTCGTGGAAAAGTTCTAAGCAAAATTAAAAAATTGTTGACAGTCAGTAGAATTCATTTTTATTGAAATTAAAAATATTTTTCGCTTAAAAAGAGAAGCGCTCTTCTTTATAAAAATGCACACAGACATATTTCGTATGTTTAGTATAATTAATTTAATTTTCTAAGATAATGCAGCACAACTGGTAATCGAGCTAAATATTTTTATTCATAGCAATAATAATAATTATTATTTTCTTAATTATAAAATGCGATTAAAATTGACTACTTCCACTTAAAAAACAATAATAAAAATACTAAACATATTTCTAACTGGAAATATTAACCACATCTAAGTGCTTCGGCTATTAATAGAAAACCATTTATGTATGTTTGTAAATATATATAATAAAATATGTATGTGGTAAAGAAATTAAATTTCGCTGAAATACCAAAACTTAAACTCAAATACAACGCATCTTGCAATTAAAAGCAAAAAAAAAAAACGAACAGTAATAAAAACAATAAAGAAAATAATTATTTATTTCTGCACAAGCGCACTTACCTCGCTAACCAGCAGGCTGATAAAAATTAGCAAGACCGTTAGCAGTTGGCTTCTTGCCGCACCTCCATACAACAACGGTTTTGTCTGCGCTTGTGTGGTCATCGCGTACGGCGCTTAAGTCTTTCTTTCTACTTCACTTGCGTATGTGCGTATGTTTATATGTCGCTTTCACTATGCCTTTGCGCTGGAATCTTTAAGAATTTACGCTTTGTCAATTACACTATAAACTCTAGAGCGTTACTTCACTTGCGTGGCTCTTTTTCTTTTTTCCTGTTTTTTTTTTTTTTTTTGCTTTCGTACAAATGATTTTCAGAAATTATTTTTCTCCTCCAACAACAATTCGCAATAAACGCACTTTATTTCAACTGGTGTCACTTGCAAACACCGCTACTGTTTGACTGTAATTGATGTCGCACTTGAAAAAATATAATGATGTTGACTGAAAAATTAATTTTATTGCGTTGAAAAAAAATTCAAAAAAAAAAAAATTAAAATAAAAAGAATTAAAAAAATATGCATAAAAAAAATACAAAAACATTTGCGTGCCTATGTGTGTGTTGTTTGTGTATAGATGAGTTTGTTTTTATATTATAATTAATAATTTACTTGATTTCTATGCGAATCACACACGGGATGTTATTAGATATTTTACACAGCTGCTTTTGTTTTGAAAATACATACTACTTTATTATTCTAAATTCCATTTGTTGGTGGTGAAAAAAGTTATTAAATACATATATATGTATTTTCTTAATTTAGTATATTTGTTTATTTGCCTGCGTCTCGTTTATTGAATTTAATAGAGTGGCAAAGGTAAGGTTTGCATAAATTATTTAGCTATACATACATACATATTCATTAGTACATATGTATATGTGTGCGTGCATATAAAACTCGCAAGGAAATAATTATCTACTAGATACATTTCCATGTTTATTATTTGCGGTTTCTTCTAAATACGAGTATATATTCACAAGTGTATGTATATATGAGTGGAACTCTATGATAATTGTCGACTGCCTCTTTATCTTTGTGGTTTTTGTGATTTGACGCCACTGTTTGGTATTCTCGCCAGAAATCTAAAGCATCACTTCCTAGAATCATCTACATACTTATTCATATATATATATACATAAGTATGTGCATATATTTATGATATTTGTTTATAGTACTGATGCGTCAGCCATTGACATACCCATATTTCATTTGAAGCAATTCAAAGCACATCTACTGTTTCCTTATAAACATTTTCATTTTTATGTGAATATGTATATACTTTCAATTTAAGCTGCAAGTCAATATAAGAAGGTAAGAAAATTTCAGTAAAATAAAATTATTTCAATTATTATTTTTTTGTTTTGCAAAATGGCGCACATAGCCAGATGTTGAGTCACATTTAATGGAGATGAGTAAACAATCAAAGGCTTTGTGACAGTAAATTTATGACAACGAACGATTGCCAATGCATGTGTACATACGAATGGATACATATATACGTTGTTATACTAGAACACATCAAGCGTGAAGAATATAATATATATATACGCACGTATATTGTACTTTTCACGAATTATTATAAGTATTCTTCAGATTTTTAATGTCGACAATTTTGTTTTAATTTGATATTTTTCCAAGCACGAATAAAGCAAAATAAAATCCTTCAAAACAAATTGTATATTTACCAGTGATTGGGATGAAACAAAATTTTCAGTTAGTTAATTTTAAATCTTTCTTCAATTTATTATTTTGTGCATAGATAAATTACACTATACTCGAATTTTTCTAAACAAAATTAGTACCTATCAGGTATGTCTGGTTCGAGTGCGCTGAACTTAATGGCTTTGGCAGTTTTTTAAAGTTAACTTCAATTTTCAAAATATTTGCCATTACAAATAAGAAAAAATTAATAAGAAAAAAAAATTGTTTTTTCAATCAAAAAGCTTGAGATTCACTTGAAACGCACTCAATCAGGGTTTTTGGTCTGGATTTTCAAAGTTCAAAATATAAGATCTAATGCGAAAAAATGAAAAAAAAAATTCATCAAATTCACTTGAAACACCACACTGAAGGATTTTTGGGGTGACAGATGACGAATATTTTTTTGTCAGATTTCCAAATTACAAATAACGAGTTAAAAATTTTGTGGATACATTTTAGAAATTTTTCTCCATCACTTGTGCTTAAACTAGAAATTTTTTTTCATCAAGCAAGGCAGCAGCAGCTAGCAGGCAACATGTGATCCATGTTTTCTTAGATTGTCGAGAATGTCGATAAAATAATGGAAATCGTCGAGTCTGACCATCATGTTTCGATTGCCCGGGAGACAAACATTGGAATTACTTAAAAAATTCTGGATACACAAAGAAGTTCGATGTGTGGGTGCCTCATGATTTAACGAGAGAAAACCTTACGGACAGAATTTCCATCTGCGAATGACAGTGAATAGTAGCAAGATGGACCACTTCTGAAGCAATATCTGACACATCACAGTCAAACAACGTCAAACTTAGCCTCCAAGCCGAGATTGACGGCCAAGAAAGATTTGTTATGTATTTAGTGGTATTGGCAAGGAATCATCTAATCGCCCAGAAGCGCCCAGCTTTAGCTAACACTAGGTGAATTGTATTTCATCATGACAAAGCCAGACCATACACAACGATAATGACTCGCCAGAAGCGCTGATAGCTTAGTTTGAAGGTTCTTATGCACTCATCTTCCTGTCTATTGCGAATAATTTGGCTGATGAAGAAGAGAATTGGCCTATAGAGTAGACCGTAAAAATCTATTGCTTCAATTTTTCAGCCAATATAAACAACAGTTTCTATGAGAGTGATATATTATCGAGAAGGTCCCTCCATCCGTTGGACAAATATCAAGACGCCAAACTACTAATTGAAGGAGAAGCTCGACCGAAAAATCTCTTCAGCGGCTACAAAGGTTATATTTTCTACTTTACCTTACAAAAAATACAAATTTCGAAGTTTAGAAATATTGAATTAAAAGTTTTGCAAAAGAATAAAAAAAATTGTGACCAGTATAACTGTTATTTCTTATCGTCGGAAGGAATTTAAGAACAAGAAAAGATCGTAAGACGCTGGGTAAAAAATTTAGATTCATGTAGAGCGTCTTCCCTTACTGTAGGTATTCACATTGTAAACAAATCAGATCCAAGTATTTTTTATTGACCTCACAAATTAAGTTATTCATAGAATCGCCGACATCAACGAGGATTTTTCTAAAAACGTGAAATGATTGTCCCCAATTATTTTCAGATAGCGAAGACGAGACTTTATTTACAGTCAAACGAAGCAAGAAAATACATAATACGAGCTCTGACTCTGAGGATAAAAGGACGCTACGTACCAGTAGACAAAACAGAATGGATAAACTCCTGCCCGTATTATTTTCAAGGATATAAGAGAGCCAACTGCCTGACCTGATTTTAAATATTGCATAACAATTGTTTGCATGCTTAGCGCTTCCGATTTGATAACTAACAAACATTAAATGCGTATTACGAGAAGGAAAAAGTTGTCAACAAATGTAGAAGCAGTGGTTGTCTAAAAAACAGTGATATCTAGAGATTGCTCAGGACAAGCGGTATATACCTTTACAACGTCTAGTGATAATACTCTCTACAAACTATGTCAAAATATCATTTTAAGTATTTTTTTACAGAAGTAAATTTAAGCCACAGTCTACAAAATAAAATTAATTTTCCCAGACAACATGAGAGCTTAGACCTTCGTTTTGATTACCAAAAATTCTAAATTCACTTTCATGATTTGGGCTCACATGTAATTCCACTTTGTTATTGCGAGAATGAATATTATAATGGCGCATAAATTATTGACTTATGAAAAATCAAACTCTGCTTTTTTCATTAAGCTTTTAGATTTGTGCTATATTTTAATTCCAGAATTCCATAGAGTTGACATTTTTGTGGCGCAATAAAAAATCCTGTGATTAGATGTGAAAAGCTATAAATACGAATGATAAAAATCTCTTTTCCTCAAAGTAGAAATGCCTGTGGTGCTTAGTCTGCTTGTGTTTTATGCATATTTAAGTTTTTTAATGGAGTACGAGATTATATATATTTGTTTAATTTTATGTCTCGCGATGCAGGATATTCATATCTGTTCTATGTAAAATAACTTGACTTTAATTTGTACTGAGAAATGTGCATTTAGCTGATGGGGCATAAGCAAAATTATTTATTGTCATCATTACACGGACGCATTGATTAAGTTAATAGCAGTGCGTACAGTGGGTCATGAGTTCGAAAACAAATTTTATAATTTAGTTCATTACTTGGCAGAAAATGTCAACCCTCTCGGCTGTATTTCTTAGAAAACTAGGAAATAAGAAAAACTTACTTCTAATATGGTGAGTCTTCAAGAAAACTATGCATGAAATTCGGGCGAAATTATTCCCCTTACAGCCAGTTTGTGGATCAATTTGCGCAGCGGGTCATCTAAATCCGTTCGTTGCTGTTGCATCCAACACAATCAACGTGACACAATTCGCAGGTATACAAATTTAAAAAATTTTTTGCGCAGGTTTTTACATAAAGATCACCATAGGAAGGCTTATGAAGTTCAATTGACTCAAGAACTGAAGTCTCATGACCATTCTTTTGTGATACCGGCTCGTTCAATGGGCCAAAGATCGCTTGCCCAGAAGATGAGCTTTTTTTTTTAAAAAAATGTTTTCTTTGGAAATCAGAAAAATCAAAAGTAATGATAGAAAAGCCAGTGCATCCTCAGCGAGTGACTTTTTGTTACGGCATATGGACCGGCTGAATTATTGGTTGGGTTTTCTTCGAAAGTGAGGAGGCACAGTTAACCATATTCAGCGATTATTTGTCTCCAAAGGGAATGACAAGGATAGTGTATGGTTTCAACAGGATGGCGCTAAGTGACACACCACCAAAGTTACAATTGATCTTTTGCGCACTTTTTTGAAAATTGCACAATGAACCAATATGGCAATGCCAACTGAGAGCATTGAAGCGGCGATTCGACTCCATTGGACTATGTTTTGTGGCCGTATGTTGAGGATAAGTGTCACACCAGTCATCCAGTGGCAATTAATGTCTTGAAATACACCAGGGCAGCCATAAAGGGAAACACAATCGATCATGTTTTAAAATGTTGGGTCGACAGATAAAACAGTATGGCCTGGAACAAGGCCAATTGAGACAACTATGTTTGAATTTTTACTATTAATCGGAATGTTAGAAATTTTATCTTTCTTTAAAAGCGAATTTTTCATGGTCAACCGTATATATAGTTATTATGCTTAATGCCAGTGAAAAATATTTTTACTCGATTTTCATCATTGTCGAAACAAGCAACTGACAAAAAACGAAAAAACAAAGACGCAAAAAATTAAAAAAACAAAATCAAGTGATGAGGGAAATATATTAAATATACATAGCGCACATTAAAAGTTGAACATTGATTCAGCTCATATAATTAGTCACTATACTCGTAGCCATAAAAGGTTATAAAGAATAATAACAAACAAGCAATCATGCAAAGTTTTAAAATAAATATAAATAAACTGACGCAATGGGTGAAATTAGAGATGACATAAAAATTTCTCAAGTTTTTTTTTCTTCTTAAAAAAAAAAAATACTTAATAAACAATCCATTTTTAGTTATAAGTATTAAGTAAACTAAGGGCCTGGTTTGTTTGTATGAATTGAATATTTTGAAGAAAAATGGTAGAAGTGACAGCTGTTTCGGAGATCGCCAAATCTCCCCATCAGATTTCTTATGGCAGACATCGAACCAACGGATCCTGACTTAACAGGCGAGTGCTCTGCTGCTGCGCCAACGTCAGCCATATAATCTGTTGTTGTATAATTGAATTCAGTATTAACCAAAACCTATTAAGTGCGTTAATTTAGCCGCTATTTTCTTAATAGCTTGGTTTTTAATCTAAAATTATTATTATAAATAAAGGATGCTTTCAATAGTGTGGTTTTCGATTAGGCAATACTTTTTCCGTGGCTGGGATTTTTGACAACTGTTACATTTTTTATACTCAGTTTGACTTGCTGCCTCATAAAGAACAGATTTACTCCGGAACAACGCTACAAGTAATCGTGCAAGTTTATTACCAAAAGAATAGTTCGATTGGCGTGAGAGTATCGCAGACTGTGCATAAAATTCCGCCGACATAATCGCCCAGCGGAGTCGATAACTCACGCAATCAAAGATGACACTACGACTACTCTAGTAAATAATGCGCATACTCAGAGACGCCTTACTAAGTGCACCGAAAACGCTATTACTGCTGTGTAGCAGAGTATCTAAAAAGACTCGAATGAGTCTATATGCCTTTCACTTTATGGAACATTTTGTGGAAGGATCTTCGTTTGTGAACATACAAAATCCAACTCGTGCAAGAATCAAAGCCAAACGACCATCAAACGCTTCGCAGGTTCGGTGTATGGGTACAAAACTAGTTCGCAACCGATAACGAAATTTTGTTCAGCGATGAAATGCATTTTTGGTTGTGATAATAATCCACAAGCTAAGTTGAAACGCCACTGCATCCTCAAAAAACTCTGCTTGGTGTTTTGTTTGGTTCCGATTTCTTCAAAATTGAAGCCGGCCGTTGTGTTGCAGGCAATGGTGTACGCTATAGCATCATGATTAATGACTTTTTCATACCTGAATTATATCTGAATTCGACCATGTTAATGTGGACGAGCTTTGGTTCCAAGAAGAGAGCCATAGAGCTAATGAAAGAAGCAATTTATCGAAATAAACTATGGGTGAGCTACATTATTTTGCCTCGTGCGGCTATGATCTCCAAGATCGTTAGACACTGCTGGACTATTTTTTGTGAGGTTACTTGTAAACTCTTGTCTACGCAGATACGTCCGAGACGATTGACAACTTGGCAGAAAATATTTGTCGCATTATCGCTAAAATTATGGCTCAAATTGCCACAAAAACAGTGCTCAAATAATGAGTACACCGACTGGAATTTATTCAAGCCAGCCGCGGTGGACACTTGTACGAAATCATTTTTAAAACTTAATTTCAAAGTCATGTCTTTATAATAAAGCTAAATTCTTTGCCTTAACATTAGTCTATACGAATTTTATTTATTTTTGAGAACTACGGGTATAAAATAAAAAAACAAAAATTTCGAAAATTAAAAAAAATCGTTTAAAAAAATTATATAGTGAAATTTATTTTTAATAAAAAATTATAAAATATTAATCTTTATTAGCGTGATAAAATATTTAAAAATCAGCATATTAGTTTAAAATTGGAATTTCACAATATTTTGTTTTTGTACTATATCCTATTTTATTGTATAAAGAAAAAACCTTATTAGTGGACATTTAAAATTTGTTGTTTTTGGTTTAACATTTAAATTTTGCGCATTAAATAAAAGCCATGACAAACCGGAAAATAAAATGAAACGCAATTTTCAACCCAAAAGTGCAATTGTACCCACAATACGCATTGTAATTCGGATAATTCATCTAATTTACCTTGACTTCAGGTTTCACGCGCCAACGATTTTTTTCTGGCACTTTCGACATACAACACAAAGGGGATATACATATATACAATACAACGAAAACGCAACCAAAAAAAAAGAATAGAAAAATAAACAAAATTTGATTGAAGCTTGTACAAAGCAAGCGGGTTCATTCAAAATGCAAAAAAGATGCCAACGCTAATGAGAAAATACCTACGTACTTTAATGAACTGTGCGAAAAATGCAAATATATTGGTCTGCATACGAGTGTATATCAGCATTAAAATTAAAAATATTTGCCAAGCAATTCACACTGCAGGCGAGCCAGCCCACTAAGAGTCAGAGCTGAGGCAAGATTTTTATTAAAGAGAAATAAAGTTAAACAAAATTATTTACTCTCTTTTAGCCTTTTTCGTTTTTTTTTTTTTTGTCTTAGCGCAAGTTAGCTGAATCTCGTCTCGAAATGGGCGAGATGCGATTAACTAGAAGTTAGCGGAGCTTGGGAGTACACTTAGCTCAAGTTCACTCACACATACACACACACACACACACCCAAGTCAACGTGAGCCGCACACAATCATTGCAGGAGATTGATACAACAATAATGTATGACACCCACGAAATGCCTTAAGTGAATATTTGCAATGAAATTATTTATGACAAAAAATAATTTAACAAAATCACAGCTTTACAATAAAAAAAAATTAAAATATTTTTTAAGCCGTTCAGAGCTCCATTTCGGCAATCTGAGAACGCTTTGAATTGTTGTTTTATGGTACACGCCTGAAGAGCAGACAGCCAAGCATGCTTATTAGTCAAACTTGCACAAATGTGTTTTTTCTATTAGACCTTTTTTTTTGTCTGTAATTAACTTAATTGTTAGAAAATATCTTAAAACACAAAAACAACAAGCACATCAGCACGCAAATGCATAAATAGTATTTTCCAAATAACTCAGTCACTATGAAATTTTCACTTGTTCATTGAAATTTAGTCACCATTTGTTATTCAATGCTGAAAAATATGAATTTTTTTGACGTTTCCCCAACAACGACGATTCGTCACTTTATTTTTGTACAAATACAACTCGTTTTATCCGCGTTTGGCAACTTTTCCACTCGACTGTCTCGTTTAAACTGATCTCGCCGGAGCATTCATATTTGGCTTATTGCTAATTGTTTTTCTGTTTTCCTATTTTCCTTTGCTTGTTGCTTCCAACACACACACGCATTGCACACAGCCACATTGACCGGCTGGGTTTGACTTGACTCGACTTGAGCCATGCTTCCTCCGCACTTGCTGTTGTTTGTTGTTGCTGTGGCTACATGTTTACGTATTTCAGTCATTTCCAGTTGGCGTAGTTCGGCTGACAATTGCTTGTGTTCATGTTGTTGTTGTGCTCTCTTCGGCTTGTGTGCTTTGTGGTTTTTATTTATGTTTTATTATTTTTTATTTTCGTTATTCTCATTTACGGTTCGCTCACGGTCTGGAGGTGTTTCAGCTCTAACTTGGCTGAAACGCTGAATTGCATTGACAGTGTTGGTTAGAGCAGATAAATTAAAAAAATATTTTTAGCACCATCTTTATACCCACCCACCCAAAAGGGTGCTTTTTTACCATCAAAATTCGCCGAAACTGCGTCTCTGACGTCATCATCGATGCGTTTTTTCACTTCACAGCACTTTTATCATTTTTGGAAACAGATAATATTCACTCGGCACCAGGTCTGGGCTGTAAGGTGGGTGATTCAACCTTGAACAGGACCGCTAATGCCACGCGGGTTTGGAGAACGGATGCATTGTCTCCCAAAAGCAGCTTACCTTTCATCAATTTTCTGCCTATTTTCTCTTTAATGGGTTTCTTTAGTCGCTCTTATATTTCAGCGTAGAGTTCGGTCATATCTTTAATCGATTATAATATTTTTGCGAATTCCAAAAGATAGTTGCAATCAGTTACCCGGCTGATTGCAACACTCTAAACTTCTTCGGATGTGTTGAGCCCTTTTTATACCACTGCATGGAGGCTTGTTTCAACTCAGGTTCATACTAATGAATCCATGTAATAATCCGGCTCAATACATCGTCCTGCTCTTCTTAACAGATATCCAAAAACGCATGGGAACCCTCTATGGGCTGTTGTTTTTGGGAAGACGTGAGCATTCTCGTCACCCAACATGCGCTGAACATAGTCATGCCAAGATGATCGCGCAGGATTTTAAAAATTTTTCATCGACTTGTTCAACTATTTCTGCGAGCTTTCTCTCCTTTAGTTGATCATTGTCGAGGACAATTTTTTCTACTTTTTAGATCAGTTCTGGCGTGGAGAGCTCGATATTCCTGTCCGGCCTTGGGTCTTATTCGCCTCATTGTTAAAATAAACTTTGCCGACATCTCATTCATTATGGTCTCAACTGATTTTCCTTAATTCACTTTTCACTCTCAATTTTGTTGCTTGGCTCACGATTGCACAAAGACTCATTTTCTGATATCAATGAAAATGCTGAATAATTTGAACAATTTTCAATCCCCCCTGCGGTTAGGGATGCATGAATTTAGCCGCGGGAAGGCATGCCTGTCAAAAGAGGCGACTAAAATCCAATAGCTTCCGCGACAGTCGGATCGTTATACCGGACCAAGGACTGCCACTCCCGCGAAATTCCCCAAAAATTACTTTGAGGAATATTTTTGTGGTTACAACAACAACAACAATTTTCAATGAATTTTGATAAACTCTTTTTTATTATCAAATTTAAAGCCTTAAAATTTGTTCTTCTTCATTGCGCAAACAAAACTTCTCTCTTTCTCGGCATTTTCCATGACATTTGCCAGCATCTCGGGCGATATCGCAGCGTTTTCAGCTCGTTCCTCGGCTCGTCCAAAGTCTTCGGCTTGACCGGCATACACTTTGCTCTTCAAAAAGGCCCACAAGAAAATGTCTGGTGGCCAGTCGATATCCTCTCCTTTCGATACCACACGATTGGGGAACTTTTGCAGCAAGAGTTTTATCGTTGATTCCGCTGTGTGCTTATGATAAGAAGAATAAGAATGAATGTATTTTTTTGGCTGCGTATTGGAAAAATATCTGTAGAATACTGCGTCAATTGTTGTTTCATGTTTGAAAAGTCTTCGGCGTAAAATTTATATAACAAAATTAAATTAGTATTCACTTTGCGTTAGATATACGTACTCTCTCACTCTCTCTATCTCTCTCTCCCTCTCTATCTCTATCTCTATCTCTCTCTCTACCTCTTTATCTCTCTCTCCCTCTCCCTCTTTATGCATCAGAAGTTCCAGTTTATACAATCAAAATAGAAGCCAAGCCCTTACTTCTTGAGGCATATCATAGCTCAAAAAAGGAAGTACCGAAAAGAGAGGAAATATTCATCGGTAAATATTAGTTCCGGCAATAACGAATTATAGCATCAAAAAATAATATACTTTTAGATATAGTGAATATTCGCCGAATGTAAAATATGAACGAAATGGCGCTGAGGGAGATCAGGAAACAAATGAAAGACGATCAAAATTAAATCTTAGCTGTATAGTCCATTGGTAAAATTTTAGCTTTTCGTCATTCAACAGCTGTAGCCGACTGAGCAGCAATTCCGTTACTGGTGATAATAATAATAACCTCTGCTAGAGTTTTCCTGAGATGAAACAATGAGGGGCCTCCTCATAAAAGCCTACAGATTTCTCAAATTTTATGAAATAAATTCAGAACGCAAGCGAGACAAATAAGACGGAAAGTTAATACGAGAATCGCTTCAGCGGCTAGAAATCGTACCTTTATTCGCAACAAAATTAAACGAATAATAACTCATTTTTGTCACAAAATATATTTTTTTCGAATAGATTGGTCTGCACTTTGAAAAAAAAAAAGAATTTCAAGTAAACAAAATTATAAACACGATTTCTTTCAATTTTTTTTATCCCTGTTGTCCATATGCAAAATTTCAAATAAATCAAACCATAAACACAATTTTTTCTAATAGGTCGCTATCTGATCTACTTCCCGAAAGAAAGAATAAGGTTCCTGCTAGTCTAATAAAAAAGTTGTCTTTGTGCCAAATTTCAAGTAAATCGAATTATAGCTCCGATTTTTCTCGAATAGTTTCATCCCTGGGCCACTTTTCGGTGTCAAAAAAAATTGCTATATACTCGTACAAACATACATAAATTCATCCAACTGAGAGAGGCCCATCGTATTTGGGATTGTAAACTTTATTCTTACTCCATACTAATTCATCCCCTGTAGTGCCCTAAGATCAAGCCCAGATGAAGAGACTTACAATGGTTGATAGAAAGAACTGGTGCGACTTACGGAGTAACTGGGGAACATTGAGAAGTTTCTGTGTGTTTAAGCATGGATTATCCCACGCCCAATTTTCCCATACCTAGCTTGCACAAGTGCTATTCTCAGATGAACAACGAAACAATAAACTTAAAGTATCTATTAGATGCTAAACTCAGGGTGCTGTGAAAGACCAGTCAATAAGCCGATAGTCAAAGCGTAAAAATGTCGCGAAACCGAAAGACCGTATGATAATTTAATCCAGACAAAAGCACCTGCTACCATCATTTAAATATTTCATATACTCCCTTCTGAGCTCTTCTGGGAAAATGCAAATCCAGGCTTAATTTTTGAGAAAATTTTTAACAATTGTAATGTCACATCAAAATCGATTTGTTTCCTCTTTTCTTATACCCAGAGATTCACTCCAACTTGGTATACAAAGTAATTTCCTTAAACATTTCTCTTATTTCACTTTAAATTCCAGCAGGGACTCTTTGTAAATTTATATTTATACTTGTGTTAAACAGCAGAGGAATTTCTTTTCCGCCCCAGTTTTATCGAACTGAGTAATAACAGATAAAATCGACGAACAAAAGCGCATACCTACGGGGTTAACATCGAGGCGCCACAAATGTTTAATATAAATATATTATACACACATAAATATATGTACACACAAACCCTACAAACTTCAAACTCCATAGCGTACGTGCAACAAAGTTATGAGCATATCAGCTGAGGCAAAAGCGAAGAAGGAGTGACTACCTCCGACATACCAATAGTTTAAGTTAAATCAAAATGCCAAAGTGGGCGGCAAAATTTCGCCCAACTCTTGCAGTGAAGCACATATGAGGGTGAAGCAGGTGACATTGCTTTGCTCTCGCATTTTCCATTTTTAATATGTATTCAGAGATTTTCTACTCTTCACCATAGGGAAATTTTCAATGAGCACGAGTGTTACAATTCAAAAGAGAGCTATCAAACTAAAAGCAACAAGAATGAAGCAGCAAAAGAATGAAAATAAACGAAAAAGTAAAGAAAACAGTTTCTGGGAGAGTTGCTGAGCGAGGAAATATTATAGTACAATCGATAAAGAGTTTCCCTCATTTATTGCAAATTACCGAAGGACATGCGTACGAGTTGTTCACTGAGCGCCTGTAGTGAGTGTGGAGCGTGGTACGACCAGTCGTATGAGTTAAATTTTTGTTTTGAAAATTTTTGAAATATAATTTAAAAAAAAGCAAATAGTTTTTAATTTTATCTAAATTTTTATTTTAGATATTATTTTTTTCTAAATACATATTCGTATTTCGTTTATAATATTTTAGAGTTATTATCAATTTTTCTTTCAATTATAATTTATTTTTAAATCATATTTAACCGCTGGTAGCCGAAAGCAAAGTAATCGGTTTCCAGTACAGACACTAACTGAATTGTGGGCGTTAGAGGGCGCAATTGCGAAAGTCTATTCTCTTGCACTCACTTTCTCTCCCCCAAAACAAATCCAGCATGTAACGCTATTTTACTACAACCGTCGAGTATACACATGGCTATGACCGAGAATCGTAAAACCCTTCGCACTCAGTGAAAATTTCATCACCGTTGTAGACAGTTCATTTCGAAAAGAACGCGGATAAATTTGAGATCTCAAATATTTTGCCATACAATTTGGTTGAAAGTTTTTGGTTCAATAAAAAATTCATTGAAATATTGTAGAATTTAGTCGGAAAAAAATTTCAAAAATTTATTTCAAGAACAATTAAATATTATGTTAAAAATTTATTAAAAATAAAAATGTAAGTCAAGTGTGTAATTTTAGTGTAGTATGCATGTGTATATGTATGTATGTACGTGCATAATTATAAGGCATATATTTGTGAATCTCCTTCAAGCGAAGCGAAAAAATATTCGACTGTCGAAAAATCGAAAGAACAACTGAAAATTCTGTATCAGTAATACGTAAGGATATATGTACATATAAGTATATAGGTATATAGTAAAAACAAGCATATAAACGTGTGAGTGATACTATTGCATACTAGTAAATCGGGAAGAGAGCGTGCGTGAGTGATAAGCATACCAACGATGTGAGCACAACCCCTAAATAAGTAACCGTTAATAAAAATTATCGGGGGAAAAGAGCAAAAAAGTGTGTTTAGAAAAGAAATGATTAAAAAAAATTTGAAATAAAAAATAAAAAAGTTTTGCTTTGAAAAAAAAAAATCGAATTATCTCGTTTACGTTTTCAGCATTCAACGGTAATTCAAGGAGACCAACAAAAGCAACAAGAAAAACCGATTAACGCATTAAGCCATCGCAAGCAGAGCCAAAAAACCTACTCACCTACTTTTGATCGCAGGATATATACATACAAACCTACATTCATATATACATAATTCGTTGCTTACCGTCACGTCGCATTTACACAAAAGACAAAAGGTGAGTGTTAATTGTAAATCGAAGATAGTTACATTTAAATGTCATTCATTCATCTAATTTAACGGTATATGAGAGAAATTAGTTTATCGTTGTTAAGGGACTAAACACCGTTGTTTTGGGTATTGGGGGTCATTGATCTTTTTCACTGCTGCTGCTGTTTGTGGTTTTTGTTTCTCTTGGCAAGCATTACATAACGCGATTTTGAGAAATGAAGGAAAATTAAATTTGATGATTGCAAGTCTTATATAAGAACTGCTGGTATACATTTGTATGTATGTATGTTTGTGTGCTTACGTGGGTTGTCTACATCATAGCATCATACTGAACTCGATAATAATAGTAAATTAATTTAGTTATAATTTAATTATAATTATTTTTATATTTACTGCATTACTTTATTTTAGATTTAAAAAGTTTTCATTAATTTCTCTGAAAAATAAGGGGAAGAAATGGTAATAATTTTACCCAAACAAAATGACCTTACAAGTGAGGATGTTTCAATGGTCAATAACGCAAAAAAAAATTTTTTTTAATTCTAAATATCTGGTATATTTTACGTGGCTTGAAATTTTTAAAATGTCGGGCATACAAATATTTTTTTATTTTACAAATTCACTCAAATATGCTTCACTGAAAAACCCGTCATATTTGCTGACTTTTTTCTTTCATTTATTAGGCATTGTATGTTTCGAAACTTTAACAATTTATAAGAAGAATCTAATACCATTTTGAATGGGATAAGTTACAGCTCATTTTCCTCTCATATCCCTCAGGAGTTTTTGAGGTTATGTGGTTCAGTCGGATACGTATATCTTCTTAAATGAAATTAGACGAAAGGGAAGGTTAACTAAAAATAATTAAGTGCGATTATTTGTTTACCTTCACATTAAAGTAAAAAATATTAATAATAAAACAAAAAGAAAAATATTACACCTCAAATCAACCACGGCTTAGCAACTCTCCGCAAAATCATTTGACGACAGCCGAAAATGTGGCCTTCTAACCTTAAGAAGCGAACAGAAGGCACTGAAAATATTAACCTTAATCCGAAAACTTTCTGCTAAAGAAAAATTTAATTGCGAAAAACGAAAATAATTTTTACCGAAGCTGAAAACCGTTAAAATACTGCAAATCATACAACTGAAATCCAATAAAAAAATAATAATAAATTCCCTGTTTAGACTAAGCTTACACGGAGCAATTTTTGTTGCCGAGACTTTTAAATTGTTGAGGATTGGGCGACGCCGCTTAGACAGCGTGCCGAATGGTTTATGCTCGGAAAACACGTTTTGTGTTCTCATTCGTTTCCGTAATATTTGACATTCGTTTTCGTTTCTTTCTTTTACAATATTTTAATGGTTGATGGTTAATGGTCTAATGTAATCAATTTAAGAGTTTAAAATTTAAAATTATATACGTTGATGCAAATATATTAATTAATATTTACTGTTGAATACATATGTATAACAGTAATACGAAGTTTATGGAGAATATATTTAAGTCATAAAATTTAATATTTTCTGAACAAAAATTTTTTAGATAGGAACCATGATAACAAAGAGAAACTCTCTTCCTTTCAATATAAAACTGACCCAAAAAGATTTTTCGATATTACATTTTATTTTCAAGATTTTTTAAAAATACTCCATAAATTTTTTATACAAAAAAATGCTAAGCCGTTGAATATAATTTAATTGCATTAGATTTTAGAAAATGCAAAAATAAAGGAGCATTCAAAATATATTTTAATAACGATAGTTAATGTTTTTGAAAAAAAATTTTAACTGAAACTAACTTGTTTTTCGTCACCTTGCGAACTATAACATTTGGTGTCATATGATACGAGTCCCGTTAATAAATAATGTTAAAAACATTAAACATAAATAAATATTTATAAGAATTCATTATAGAAATGGATTTTCTCGTCTTTTATTTATTTTATACAAGAGAAATAGTTGATCTCTACCTGAAGACAAAAATCGTGTTGAAAAATTTGAGTCGGTGAAAAAGTGTGTTATGGGTTATTGTGAGCAAAAAAAAAAATTAAAGAAAATTGGTGTGAGCGAATCATATTAACATTTTTTGGAAAATTGCCACAAAGTTGCGGTATTGAATAATACGAAATAATTTTTGTAATTTTCTTTCATTTGTGTACTTAAAACTTAAAATTTTTGGTATTAATTCTTCGGTGGGATAAATATATAATAGAATATATACTAGAAGTTCATATATGTATGTATATAAATATATATTTTTAAACAAAAAGTACTGATACATATATCAAGTATCGCCCACTGTAAATATGACAAAGTTGGTTCGGCGACGTCTACGATTGTTATAAGCTCATATTCTATAAACCTTGACAGTTATTTATATCAAAAAAAGAAAAAAAATTGTATATTTCTGTAAACTTTTGTTAGTTTTTAGATGAATATTGTGCAATGCAATATTCCTAAAATCAACTCGTTAAACCTGTAACTGACATTTATGGAACTATACGTCGTAAATTTACCGCCTAAACCGAGTTTAAGAAGTCTTTGTTTTAATAATTGAAAATCCAATAAATGGAAAACATATATATTTTTTACTTTTCAAACTTCGTTGTGTAATGACCTTCAATTCCGAATGTATTTTATGGCAAAAGTAACGAGTTGAAATTAAACGAAAATTATGATTATGTGAGTCATTTTACTCAAACAGAGATAATCTGGTGAATATTTCACGAGCGTAAAGTCGTTCTAAGCGATTAATTACTTTGCTGTGTCTACTACAGTGTTAAGTTTAAGGTGCAGACATTTTCACCACACTGGGGTATTTTCGCAACAACAAAACAAAATACACATGTCAAAGAAAGAGTAACATTTGACCGTGCTTGTTTACAATACCTGCTTAATAATTGTTTAATTTTTAACAAATAAAAAAATAAATACAACCGGAAATCACATATTGTTGGGGAAAAGCCTTAGATTTAATAAAACGCATTACGTGCATATTTATCGTTAATTAAAAACAGGTGCAATATTTACAATATCTCGTATGGTTTGTCAGGGTGCTCGCCAAGGCAACAAAATGTTCGTGGCATTAGTTGTTAATTGAAGATGTGTTCAATTTTGTGATTTACCTAAAATATTACCAAAGTATCAGCTTTGTTGCCAAAAATTTGTGTTAAGTTTATTTGAAACGTTGTTTGTGTACACTGAAATAAGTGCATGTAGATAAGTATATATATGTAAATTGTTTGCAAACAAAATATTACGCCGCATACACACCACAAACCAATACACCACTTACCATAGTTGTGTTGACTTGTGCAGACAAGCGCATGGTTGCATTGCATTAAACTTTGAATGTAAAACTCGCACATTTATTTAAGAAAAAACATACAATTGTATTATTACAATTATTCCGTTTATATACATCTAGTGTAACGTTAAATTTCAGAAAATATGGATTTAAATGAAAAAATGGATCAACTTACCAGAGAAACATCTGAACTGCGAAAAGAAGTTGCGCATTTAAAGGGTAATTTTGTAATATAACGTAAAAATGTTCACCAGATTAACTGAACACTTCAACTTTCTCATATAGAATCTCTAACAAAGCAGAATCAAATTATAGTAAGATTAATAAAGGAACAATGTAATCTTATTAAGAAAAGTGATGAGAAAAGGGATGCGCAATTTGTAGCTGAAACAAGTGTTAGACCACATATAGGCATATTTCCTATAAAATCGCAAGAAGATTTAGACGCAGCGGAAGAGAGCATTAAGGAAGAAAACAAAGAAGAATGTGTAAGCTATATTATAAATGAAGAGCTCTTTCCGACTAATTTATTATCATACTTATTTGATTTTAAAGATTGCCGTTGCGAAGGCGCTACTAATGCCAGGAAGTTTCAAAAAGAATATCGGCAAAATATTTGGAATTGACGTAATTTTGGATTATAATGTTGATGGTAGACATAATAAAAAACGTATACAAGATTATTCCAGATTAATGGATGTGCTTTTTCGTAAGTACCTTCTAGCGAAAAATTTAATTTAACTGTTAGTAATTCTATGTTTTTCTTTTAATTTTCAGAAGCGACAAAAAGAGAGGGTTGGCATCATAAATATTTTCTCGACGAACTAAGAAGTGGCTTTAAGTGCGCTAAAAACAAGCATTTCAAATTTAATTGGACACAACGGAAGAAGTATTCTGAACAGCAACCAATTGAGCCATCTGTTAAGATTGAGGAAGTTTTAATACCATATGATGATGAAGACGATGAATAAAATATTTATTAAATTAAAAATTGACTCAGTTAATTTCTAAATTACATAAAAATTGTGTAAATACAAAAGGGGTTAAAATAAGTAGGGTTGCGATTCCATTATATATATACCACCTAAGGGTTAAGATTTTTGTCATTGAACTCACCACAATAGTGGTGTTGCTGTCAAATAGCCGCCGGACAAATCATCTGTCAACAAGATGTGTTTCTAGTTTCAGCAATTTTATTTTAAGAAGTGAAAAATGTGTAATATACTTTATTTTTAGTAAAATTCAGTGAATTATTTAAGATATATAGTGGATTAAGAAGTGTTTTGACTGTTAGCTATTGACAACGGTGTAAGTTGTGTTGGCAAATTCTTTTGCAAATATAGATTTATCCATCGTGGGGTTGTAGCTCTTACAGAAGTACATACGTCTCTATGTATGTATTGCATTTTGTTTGTGATTTGCCAAATAAAGCCTGAAAAGCAATATACATTTCTATAATGTTTAAATTCTATGTAGAATATGTACAGTTGTTTGGTTTTGAATTTAATGTTTTTTTCTTGTGCTTCGATTGGATCGCTAGAAAATGTATGCTTTAAAAACCTACACCGCAGCGCATTTTACTTTACAGGGGATGCAGTACAAAAAAAGTGTGTTTATAGATACTTACGTACGTGCGACCCATTCATGAGTATGATTTAGATTTGTGTATTTTGTAATATCAATCAGCTTCTTTTGTACACTTACATTATGTTTTAGGGTCGTGAACTCGAGGTTTAATCATATCAATATTTAAAAGATTTTATCATCTCAGTGCGCGCGTCTGATGCAAAGTATACAAACTCGTTACCTATGGGGGTGGTTTAAAGTTTTTACCCTTTGAAACACTGCAAATCAGGGGAAAGTTGAAAAAGAAAGTGAAGCTCAAAATATTCTTTAAATGCTTTTAGGTACTAAATTGGGCTCGAATTTTCTAAGATTTTTATTCAATTTTGCGTCCCTACTACAATAATATTTCTTTTGAAATGCGGCGCAATAGTTACAATAATTGGGCTAGCCAACATAACTTACTGCCGATAAAATAAACGTTTTTGTTTTTCTTTTTCTACAAAATTAATGATTCAAACAATTTGAAAATATAGAAATTAAATAAATTAGGCATTTTTTAAAAAAATATGTTTAATAATTTTGTTTTTAGTCCACGATTAATTTCTGTTTAAGTGATATTCCAAAATAAAAATCCGATTTCAGAAATCATGGATTTAACAACTCAAGTGTATGAATTGGCTAAAGATATAAAGGAGATGCGGGAGGATATAACACAATTAAAAGGTAAGTAATTTATTTACATTTATGCAATATAAAATATACAAAAGCACGTCTGATATGACGAAAATATGGTATTAGCAAGCATTAGTTTGAAAGATTAATGCTAACATGCATAGTGCTTGCTAGTCTATGGATTTGGAGTTGCTCAAACTCCGTCGTTTATGTGTTTTATATATAATATAAATACTTTCAATTTTATAAGGCTATATGGACCGGCAAAATGATGTTATAAACGAGTTAATGAAGGGACATCAAATGCTGATGAAGCGTTTGGTGAAGCAAGAGGAAGAAGATGAAGAAGAAAAGAATATCCAAAGACCAATGTTTCCGCTGATGACACAAGAAGATTTAGACAATGCTGAAGCTTTTATAGGAATAGATGATCGAAAGAAAGACGAAATGGTAAAGGCACACTTAAAGGTTTTCAAAATGCATAAAAGCTTTTGTCAAAGGAAACGTGTGTGGAGAAGAGTTGTTTTTTTTCTGATTAGATTTTTCAAAGAATTAGATTGAAAAAACATTAGTTTATTTATGTTAAATTGAAATTAAAATATTTAATTATTAATTTTTTTTTTTGCAAACTTCACTACCTTTATCGTTTTTTTCACACACGTCTTCTTGTATTATTTAATATTTTTGAAAAAAAAAACTTTCTTTTCTTATCATTTATTAATACAACATATTTGCAGGTACGTTTTCTTAAACCACTTTTAATGCCCGTTGGTCTTAAGCAGAAAATAGTCTATGTACTATCTGAACAAATTATTTTGGACTACAACCTCGAAGGTACACACGGTAAAAAGCGCATGTTGCAGTATCAGAAACTTTTAAGTGTGTTATATAGTAAGTAAATAGAAGAAGACAAGCAAAGAGTTGTGAATCAAAATAATATTGAATAATAGTAAGGTTTACTATTTATTTTGTCACGCTTGCTCTCTAAGAAGTAATTTTTTTATAGAATTTTATATTCACTGCATATCTCATTTTACAATTTCACAGCGGCAACCGATCGACCGGGTTGGTCGTATAAATTATTCTTAGATGATTTGCGTAGAGGTTTTCAATTTGGGAAGAAGAAGCATTTTAGAAAGAAATGTAATGCGAATAAACTGCTGAAAGCTTCAAGGAATCCACTATCCAGCGGAGCTGAGGATGATAATGACACAGATTATTAAAGTCAATAATGAATATGTTATATCAAGTAAATAAATAAAAATAATATATATAAGAATAATTTTAAGTTTGTACTATTGTAAGTAATAAATTAACTTTAACAAATTTAAACAGTAGGAATTTTAAATGCAATAATTTATATATTTACATGTAAGATAAAATATGTCTTTGCCATCTTCTATTATTGCAATAATGTGTAAAAATGATAAAAATCTTAAATAAATTCTCAAAAGATTGCTGTATGTAATAATTTTAAAACGGTTTTTAAGTGAAATGTATATTAAATTTTGCCTCCCTAAGGAGCATTTAGTATTATGATTTTAGCGTTGCTGATTATTAGGCAGGCGCTATACATTCACATGCGTGGATTATTAAATTCAAAAAGTGATTAATAGCTTCGATAACGCTATGCTTCACAACTTTTCTGGGTTATACACAACTAAATGTCATATGCACTGATGCAAGCCTGCGCCAAAATAAACTCCAGTTACTTTTTTTTAGTATTTTTCACTAGACACCAGTGAGCGTACGAGGGAATTGTTAGATGCCGGCGTGAGGATTATGCAATCGTTTCACCGCAGTTCTACAACACTTCTGTATAAACATGCATGCGTGTATGTATTGCGTTTCCAACGATCCTCCGCCTTTCGTTTTGCTGTGTCAGTGCGCCTAAAAGTATGCTATGAAAAATTACTATCTTGCATTTCCGGCATCCCCAGCAGGAAATAAACCAAATGGTTGCTAAACGAATGGCAGCAAGTGTACATAGTTAGCAAGTGAAAACATACAAAAATATCAAATACATTGTGAAAATATTGCTGCACTGCTGCACATAAACCTGTCAGCTATTGGGTGTGGCTGCCATTTTTATATGTTGTAGTGTGTTATTAGGTACCAAAGCCATGAAGAGACCGCAAGTCAGCTACTATGTAGCTAGACAACGTGCATTGACGGTTGGCAGGTATCATAGACATTACGCCGCGTTATAGGCAGATATTAAACCTTATGCGGTTGTCAACGCTTTCTGCGCTGTTGGTATTTCATATGAAATTTGTGACATTTTGAAGTATGCTTTTCATTGCTTAACATCTTAAAGCTGTAGGATGGCACTTTTAATATATACATGTTTGGCAGATATGTGCATGCGTATACATATATGTATATACAAGCTTGAATGGTGTCAAATATATGTACGAAGCTGTATTGGTAAGCTCAGTACGCCTTTTTTTTTGGCTTGTATGCGTATGCATTTTGGTTTAAGTAGGACAAAAAGGATACCATAAATGTCTTCGACCTCAAGCTAAGTGTCTACACCATAAATGCATAATAAAAGAGGGATGTGTGTGTGAATGTTGTTAAGAGAGAGTGTGAGTGTGTGTTGGCAGGAATTCCGAATGTATGCTACAAACATATACACATAAATAAATGTATGTACATATAGAATATACCCCGTGGGTAATTTACTTGGTTATATTATTTTTACTTTTTTTCTAAATAAATTTTTTCCCAAAATCTGAGACTAAAACTTAGCTTAATTTAAAAATGACTGTTTTTTTTAATAAAAAACCGCTCATAAGTGTTAATAAGAATAATAAAAAAGGCTTTAAAGAAGATCGAAGAATTAAAAAATAATCCTTAAAATGTTTTTGTTGTTTTTCTTTTATCCACTAACACTCTCTTTTTACGCCTAGTATATTTCATAGTCTATAAGAATAAAAATTCAGGTAAAACTGAACAATGTTGAGGATTTCAAAGTTTTATGGAATCGAAAGGACCCAGAAGTGTTGTTGCAATAAAATTACATTTTCAGTTTTTCTGATATTTTGCTTCTTCGCAATAATACATTCGTCAGCGTAGTTCGAAAAAAGTACTTTTATGACGATGCAGTCACCCATTTTGTTGCCGTTGTAGCTTTCCATTCGCTTCAATAAGTAAGGGAAAATCATTTTTGTGCAGAAAATGTCACGAAGTATACATGCAATTGGGAATATGAATACATACATACATATATATATATACATATTTACACTTGTAAGTACCAATGCGGTATGCGTGCATTATTTCCTGTATATTTACATACTCGTATATATACATTTGTGTATGTATGTATGCATTTATTTATGAGTTACTGTGTCGCTTTCGCTTGAATAATTCTGAATGCAGAGCATCACAAGTAAATGCACATTTATATCTATAAAAGCAGCGAAGCACAAGTATGTAAGTGCAATTATGAACACTCACTCATTGGTGCGTGGGTTTCTCAGTGGTTTATTGCTCATTTTCTCTGGCGTCATGTTGGCAGAAATATGCAGGAATTATACAATTTAAGCGTCAGCTATGTATGTATGTATGTAGAATATATATCTATACATTTTATATATATGGAGGCTTTAATACAAAAATAAGGGATTGACCCTATGTCTTAAAAATGATTTCAGGTAAGTACCCTCCGTGGCGGGCACGAAAAAATTCCAGCCGAGAAGCACAATTTGCGAGCACTTTGCACAGCAACTGAATCCGCATATCTTTATATGACGAATATTCTGTTCCAAAGATTGTTTCGTTGGTTGCTGTCTTATTTGAATCAAAGCATCCACCAAATCACGTACGAAAAAGTCGTTAGCCATGGCTCTATAGCGTTCCTCATTGATTGGAACATTACTATGGGAGACCTCATTTTTAAAGTAATATGAACCAATGATTCCATCATCCCCTAGCGCACAACATACCCATTCAAGGTACTTTCATCGCTAAACAAAATATTCTTATAGAAATCCAGATCGGTGATCATCTTGATTCGGACTCATTCACCGAACGTGCGATGCCCTTTATGGTCGTTCAGTTTCAATTCTGAAGAACTGAAAATTTTCTGTTCATGCATCAGCTTCAAACTAGTTAAATACCAGTTCATTTACGTATGTAGAATTTCTACTACACCTGAAAACATATTCAAAATAAAAAAGTAAATATTTTGCCTGCAGCGATATTCGAACCGCGAACCTAACGCTCTGCAGTGATTACTTCTAACCACGCGGTTATCGTCTTGTTATGGAGACCAACGAGATCTGCGTACTTCAGCAGAGCTTTTAGGGAAATGAAACTCAACCTTGACGTATTAAAAATGAACCGTGAACTGTACGAGTTACAGTGAGTGGTACTATTAAACCACTCGGTTAACGTAATGACGAACTATTGCGTTGGTACAATATTATTAAGTGATCCTTCTGATAACGAGTGGAATGAGTGGTATGGGATTATTGATGTCAGGATGTATAGCAAACTAAATCCTTTCGAAACCATTTAAAACTTTGACTTGTATTGGAAGATTAGTTTTAATTTTAAGCAACGGCTAAAGATGAAGCTTAATTTGGGGATTATAAAATTCAAATTTTTCATTAAAATTTTGGTACTAAATTGTCGTGTCACAAAGGCAATTCCCATAATTCATACGTACAACTTTCCAAAGTACTTTTCCATAGTTCTTAGGCAATCAAATTTTCCATTCACTTCTCATGTTGTTATTATGGTGTAATTTTAGAAAAAAAAAAATATTGTCTCATGAGACTTTTTTTTTTATCTCATGGGAAAAATATATTTTGCCTACTCCTTCTCGTGTAGGCAATATCAAAAGCCTTGCATTGATTTTACTCAATAAAATTTAATATAACAAAATATGCACTGGCACAAATTGAGGTAGCCAAAAAGCTTTAGTTCACCGGAGTATAAAGAAATTTGATTGAGTAAAACTTTTGGGTTGACAAAGTACAGAATGCCGTTAAAATTTCAATATTATTTTTACTTCAAGACAGAAAATCGCATGAAAAGTTACTGATTTTGCAGTTGAGAAAAGAGTTTTTTTTTTTAGTAAATTTTGCCCGAAAACTTTTTTGATTACATCATCTTTTGAATATATCCATATAACTTTCAACTTACATACTCGTATGTATATACATACATATGAGTAACTGCTCTTCACGTTGATTCAAGCTGCAGTTCTGCCCTGAGTTAATAACAGTAAAATGAAGATATGTGAGCATAAATCAGTGTGACCGCATGTTTATAGTTCCATCCATCAAATGGGATTTGCTGTTCGCTTCAACTTCGCAACTTCACTTGGTTGAACTCTATAGTTTTGGTTGATTATGAAGGTTATGTGCACTTTATATTGATATCCTTAATGTCAGTGGTGTTTTCACTAGTGGAATTTATTGAATGATTGATTAGGTAATTATATCTGGAAATAATATACAGAAGTTATTGTTGATAATTATCGAATGTGAGTTAATTCAACTTTACCTCAATATTTTTATTTTTATTTAACCTAATTTTTTTTTGGAAGACTTCTTCTTCTTATCTTTGCTAGTTAACGCTAATTGAGCATACCAATTAAGTCAAGTCACTATCCACTTTACGTTTTCGACGAAGTGGAGGCGAAGAAATAGATTTAGAAGAATAAATGTGTATGTATTTTGGATGTTATAATAAAAGTCACTGTACAAAATGTACACAGTAGTAGGCACAATCATTAATTATTTGTCATATGTCGGCATAGATGACGTGGTTTGCATATGGAAATATTCGGTGATACTGCTTGGATGTTTGGTTGAAGGAGGGAGGTTGTAGATTCGACTGCAAGCGGCTGTACTTAAGCCATTGACCGAGCTCGTCATGCTCCTCCGTGTATCCCAATTAAGAGTTTGCTAAAAGTTTGGTCGATTTTATAAATTGTTTTAGTTTTTTCCAACCATTCGTGTCCACATCTACAAGGTTGTAGCTGGAAGTACCGTGAAAGGTGCGACGTTTCAATCCGCTGAACCTCTACCTAGCTTGCGAAGATGATATCAAAAGGGTAGATGCGCCGTTGGTATACCCATAGAGAGGCTAAATTCTCTTTTGGTTAATGCAAATAATTCAGTGGTACGCTCTACGTTGGAAGAGTTCTACGACCTTAAGTGCTCCTTTGCGTCCCACTGTTTTAAACAACATTTGAAGTGCCTGAGGCAGTCGATGACGACAGACCGGCCAGTGGGGTTAGCACGAGTAAGTTTGTCCGCCGTTTCACTTGCCAGTTACATTTATTTGACATGGAACCCAAGGGTTCACTGTTCGTACGCGCAATGGTCTGTTAATTGAATTTCGACTTTGTGTTCACGCATTGACTCTCTACCAAAAGTCTGAAGCGATAATGCCCATAATCTGTGATTGGAATAGTTATAGCTGTGGTCTTTGAGTTTAAAGTCGCCTTGATAATTGGCGTGGTCACAGAAGAGCGCTGCTCCTGTGCCTGCCTCACATTTAGACTCATCAATATAGTTATGGCTATCTTCATTGTTACCAATGGGCACAACTTACGTCCCTTCTTCCCTACTAGAGAAATAGTATGTTGCTGTTGATAAACACAGCGATTATAATATCCAGCGGCCGAGCAACACTAACAATCTAAGTCAACAGAGGGACTCCTCAAGGAGAAGATTAGAAGACAAGGCAGTAGGATATGAGAACGAGCTCATATTGTTGGTAACAGAGCTTCTTCCCTCTACAGTAATATGTATAAGCCTCCCCGTAGAAGACAGCTTTTATTAGACGCGAATATTGAGCTAAATGTTAATGCCGGTAAAACGGAGGTGATGATATACACAATAGCATCAAAACACCACAATTTCAGCTGTCTTCACTCATCACACTATATTTCCTTTGTACATTCAATAAAGTAGATATATAAGGCCTTTTAACCCTAAAAGGAACCCTAATAGGAATTTTAAGACCCCCAGACCAATAACAGGGATATACAAATCGTTTATGAGACCAAAGCCTTGTTTTGCAGAGCAGAATTAGAGTAACAATGCCAACATAGTCATAGCCAACCGTAAGATATCGAAATCGATTTGACCCTAGTATGACATGCCTAGAAGAAATGTCTCATTAAATAAGTCAGAGAGAAGTATATATAATATAATGCATTACTGGTCTTTCGGAGAGCATACATACATTGCATTTACTTACCTTTCTCAAAATTTATGTGAGCGCCAAGATTAAACCTAATGAAGCCATAGATTTCGGGTCTGTTGGCTGTGCTATTTACGCTTTCCGGTCATTTCAAATGTCTGGAGCTCCTCATAAATATCAATTAGCCGTTCCAAGGCGGCTTAGAATAAACTGGAAAAATATCAAGATGCACACCGCAAATTAGGCAAGGAGCTTGTCCACAAATCGCTTGAACAGTTACAAGCCTATTGATCAATTTTCGATACTCATTACCAGATTTTTTGGACACCGGGAGCTTTTACTTTTATTTAACCGCTCGAAAAATGAAGCTAGTTTGCTTACGCTTGTTTGCCTATTTTTATTTATTTATTTTTTGTCCCAGAATGTACATTTTAAATCGTTACGGGGGTTTCCTATATGCAAAAGCCATCCACCGGCGTGTTCTTATGAGCGACTACTAAAGCATTGAGACTTCATGCAGAAAACTCATGAGGCAAACAAATTTTATGAGAAAATAATAAATTTAGATTAAATAAAAAAAAATTTTAATAAAATTTTACACATCACGATTTAAAAATTTACTTTAAATGAAGAGAAAATAAACATAGTTTCCTGCTCACTCGCAATAAAATAGAAGTTTAAAGAATCCGAGCAAATGTTTCTATGTTACTCATACGCCACGTACACCACATCAAATTTTAATACAAAGCATACTTGGCGTTGATTTACATATGCCCCCACATTCATAAGTATTATTTGCATCACCGAGCCGGAGAGAAACTGTAAAATGCTTGCACGGAATCAGCGACGGAGAGACGGCGGGTGGTTGTGACGGTTAGTGCTGAGCAAGCGGATATAAATTTGTGTGAGCAAACATTCCAAGTTGCACAGCTTGAGCTTAACCAAAGAATTTGCAGTTGAAATTCTGAATAGTGAAAAGAAAAAGTGAATGTTGAAGAAAAATAGGTTAGATCTTATGCAGCTCGCAAGTGTTGCACCTGCCGGCAGATGCTGGGAATACGCTTTTATGGTTTATAAGTAGTATAAATGTATGTATATTGTATATGTCTATAAAGTTTGAAGTATACAGCACATGAAGTGTAGGTATATATATACCCGTCTAGTACATACTTAACAATTGCTTTTTGTTTTTTGCTTTTCATAATTCATATTTCATATATGCGCATGTTTATATGTAAGTCGGTGTATGTAAGTATTCATTCTATTATATGCCATCCACCTACCAGCGTCGCGCCTCATTTTTGCATAATGAAATCCTAAAGTGAAGTGAAAATTCGCTTTTCCTTTTTCTGTTGCTTTGCTTTTGCCCCAGACAAGAATTGCAGCGGGATAAAGAGAAATATTCAAAAGCGTAAAATAGTCGTATGCCATGGCACGTTTGTGTATGTGTGCGTGCTGTGATTAATGGGCTTATACCGTGCTGCCAGCAAACTTGGCTGAAATAGCATGCCTTTGGCGTGGAAAATGCACATTCATATGGATTAATCTGCAAAATGGGTAAGTATGTATGTATACGAAGCTTGTTTGGTTTGTGGAAATTTCTTCATACCGATTCTGGTAATAATGTTTGCTAAAGACAAATTGTCGTGGTGTTGGAAGATGATGCTATGTTTAAGGCAAACGATACTTTCTTAGACTTAGAGCAGCTTAAAAAATGAAATCGATTGCATGCAAAATTATTAAATAATGCGATATTTGGAAGGTTTGCACTATTTCTTCGAAAAAAAGCTTGCTCCAACACAAGACAACCCTTCATAGAGAGAAGAGATAATTTTTTTCTATTTCTGTGCTTGCATATTGTAGTTTCTGTAGTGGAATTAACTAACTTTTATTGATTTAATTTGTTGAATCGTTAACTAACGAAATTCTTCGCTTGCACTAACGATTATGCGATTGCCTAACTCGCTTTTTACCACGCTGTATTGCTGACGTTTCTTTTTTATTTCTCAAAATATGCGAAAGGCACAAAAAAGGTGTGTCAAAAACATCTAAATTCATTAGAGAATTTATTTTTATTAAATGAGTTGCTTTAGATTACAAGGTTAGGTTTTATAGTTTCCACTTTCCTAACTTCAATGGATGTCTCTTCCTAAAGTGAAGTAGCTCCAATGAATTAATCGTACTGCTGACCTGGGTATTTAACATTTACCGTGAATATTTTGAAATTAGTTTCACATATGTCTGCTTCGATAACCAAATTTCACGTTCTTAGACGCTTTTTTGACAAATTGAAAACACAAAATCTCAAATCTGAAAGAGCATATACGTGTATGGCCGGTTTTGATAGGTGATCTTCTAAGTATAGCAATGCATCTCTGTATCAAGTTTGGTTCAAATATCTCAAGAACTGTGGATCTAGCTAACGTGCGAACAGGTGGATAGAAGTGCATGGGTAAATCCACCACACTTGTCATTCAAAATATTGATGGGTCAATCTCTTCTCCTTCTGGTACTTAAATACTTCGACCCAAAGTTAATATTATCGCTGAATTTTTTTAACTACTCGAAAAGCGCTATAACAGAAATTGAGTCCCACCGCTGATGTAGAATTTCCAATTAACTCAGGACTTTTGTGATTCACCAAATAATTACTTAATAAATATTACTTTGGAAACTGAGAAGAATTATCCAGGGAAAGTTGGCCCGATTCGTGATAATATGAAATTAGGTTTCTTTCGACCAAACTGTGCTCATAAACTAATGCACTACGATTTATCACCAACATCCACGCATTGGCTTCGAAAACCTCTTCAAAGTTGCAAAGAATCGATTTTTCTTAAACAGATTTAAGAGGTCTTTTTCACTTGCAAAACAATATAAATGATTTTCATTGTTAATTTTTTTTTAAAATCATTATATTCTACAAAATAATAGAGAAAAGGTTATTAGACAGAATTTAATGTAGTTTAACAATTAACGATTAAATTAAAAAAAAATATTGTATCCTCTTGTTCCTGTAGCCGATCTCCAGAAGGGCCTCAAAAAGAAAAAGGGGAGGAAGATAAATTTTTATTTTTGACAAAATGGCGGCTTCAAAAAAAAAAAACATTTTTTTGTGAGAAATTCCACACTTCAAAGTGACTTAAGAGACCGAAATTATTGTCGAAAATAGCATTCCTTCACTTACTATCGAAGGGTCGTGTGAAAAATTTTAAGCCCATCGGTTTAGCCGAACAATTTACACTAAGTTAAACTACTCCGCCTTGCGCTTCGCCTATTTTCGAACGCCACAACGCGTCCTAAACGATACGATCATAACTCCGAGTCTGTTTGTCAGATCAACTTCAGATTTTCGGAAAATATTTTCAATTATATGAAAATTCGAAAAATTAAAAACAAATAGGTTTTTAAAAAAATTATTAGTGAATATAAGCCCTTAAGGAGGATACATTCAACGCCTGCCAAGACAAATTTTTATAGAGGATATTACTTTTGTATTATAAAGGACCAAAGTGATTGAACTTGTGCTCTTTTAAAAAAGGTAATAGTGACTGAGAGATTTACTTAAAATATGTTTGTAAATTGCGTTGCGATGTCTCTTTGCCCAAATTTTTAACGAAGGAGCGAAGTATTATCTGCCAAATGGTCTAATTCATGTTTATTAGTTGGAAATTGAAGTCTTCACTACGAAGTATCCCTTGCTCGGCTAAGTTTTCTCGTTATAAGGAAGCTGTGGGTTGGCTCCCTAAGTACAGTTAACAGTAGAAATTGTATCAGGACTGTACTGCAGTTAAGAGAAAACCATACCACCTTTTTCAAAAGAAATGTCTGACAATGAAGAACTTGAGGACCAAAAGGATCATCCTCCGAACAAGTGAGTCGTATTTCAGAAGGTTTCAATAATGCAGTCTTTCTCTTTAAGATTATATTGCATTTGTGGAAGAAACACTTTCCTGCAGTGAAAATTAAACATCAGGATGTGGCAAGCCCGAAATTCTAATCGATTTCGATGGTAAAAACGTTCCATCATTAAAATATGATAAAGTATGGGTAGCGATTGTCTGGTTAAAAATAACAAATTGTTGAGAAAATTTAGAAAGTGCATGGAGCAGATACAGAATACAGTCAGAAGAAGGCTAACTAAGTGTGCTCTGCACAATTTGCGTCGATTTTTGTGAGATAAGCCTCTTGAATATCAAGTGCGTCGAGCCCACCGTCAATATACTGATTGTACATTATCCGTGTAGTTTTAAATCTCATAAATCCGCCATTAACCAAAAGGCGGTCCGCGATAAAAAGGATCGACACACATAACCTATTGGTTGAATTTAAAACAGCCTACGAAAGCACCAAAGGAGCAGCCTCGAAATGGCTATGTCTGAGCTTGTTATCCTAGCAAAAGCTAAGCGGCTGTGTAAACTGACGCTGATCAACACCCAAAGTTTCTGCAGTGTCGAAAACGATCGCCCCGAGGTGTCCGATATCAAACAAACCTTTAGCCATATTGACCCTCTCTTGTGTGACTTTTTTAATTTAATACGAACTGCAGAGCTAAGCAGAGAGAACTAGCGATATTCTGTAAGAACGTACAATTCCTCGGATTAGGTATGAAAGCGTTGTGAATGGAATTGCTAGTAAATGAGGACATAATGAAATATCTCCAGCCGACGAACAAACAGTTAGCGCCGCTCTTGAGAGCCATAATTTTTTGTCATCAGGGGCCACTTCAGTCCTCCGCCGACGAACAAAGACCAAACTCTACAAGCTGCTCATTATTCCTCTTCCCGTTATATGGTACGGAATAGTGTATGGGGACGACTGCACAAGAGTCGGCTTCGAGAGCCTTGTAAACAATGTTTTGCGTAAATTGTATGCTCCTCTGCTTATGGCCGATGGTGAATACCACGGACAATGGAATGATGAGCTGTATGAGAAATTTTGAATATGAGACAAATAGCAAATTTAATGCAAAATTTTAAAATATTCTAACCACAAGAAAACCATTTTTTGTCGTAAACTTTTTCTCCAAGGCATTCAGATATCTTCCAGAGCTTGAATTTAGTTAATTTTTCATTATTTTCTTGGTAATAACAACAAGCGATTTTGCACTATTTTCGTAGGTAAAATTCTTCAACGCAGTTATTCAAATAAATTGTCCTTTACGGAAATAAAATTCGTAGCCGTATGATAATTCATTATCGATTTGTGAAAAACCTTTCAAATCATCAGCATAAATTCTTTTGAGATGGACTTGAAAATTTTTAATATTTTCACTTTAAGGCCAAAGACTTCAAATCAAAAGGGTTACCCCCAACTACTCCAACGCTACATTCCACTAATGTTTAGTTGAAATGCTTTTGGTTTTTCATATTACTTATCGATTTTCCATTTGTGCCAACTGCTGTTAGGCGTCCAATCAATGTGACGCTGCCAACAAACTGTTAACAAGAACAAGTTTCCACCGAAGCACTTTTGTGAGTCTATAAGTTCTCCACGTCTTTCGCTCACATACATAATCGTCTCTTATCGTTTCACCTCGCAGCTGTGCTCGTAACGCTTCTCACACTTACAATGGCATTCAATTTTTGGCAGACGTTATGTCGTCGATTTTCCTTCCATTTTACGTGTTTCAAAAAGGAAAAAAGGAACAGAATTTTTCATCCATTATGTGATTGTGTTCTGCAACTCGGTTCTCTCTTCTCTATCTCTGTCTATCTGACTGCTTTGGGGGCGTCATTTAGCGCATTGATTTCCGCAGCTTGTGTTCAGTGTTTTTATGCTTTTGTCGCCGACAACAGTAGCAGTTGTTTGTTTCCGTTTCCTTTCAATAGAAACTACCAGAGTTTCTACTTTTCTTTTCCTCCTACCCCTTTGGGGGGTAGTCATGTGTGTTTATTGTGCGATTTTTTTCGATTTTTCTACTTTGAATGTTTTTGTCTTTGACGTGCTTATGTACATATGTATGGTATGTGTTAGTGTGGTTGTGTGCATATGTGTCATTGGCTTTGAATTTGGCAACGATATTAACTGCCAAATGAGTTGTATCTGATTGCTTTGCTCTAAATATGTGCTTTTTTTGTTGTTTGGTCTTGCTTCTATTCATTCCACTTTTCTATCCATTTTTTTTTTTGGTTTTCTTTGCGTTTTGACTCATTGTTTTCTGTTTGTATGGGAGTTTTGTTTATTTGAACTTTATATGCATATGCACATACATACATATGTAGCTTTCTTGTTTATGTCGTGTCTGTCAGTTTGGTTCAATTTAATCAAGTTCTATTCACGGCCCACGTACAGAAAGTAGATTACGTAATTACCGTATTTGTGTCATTTGATATATAATCATCAGTAATTTCAAAGATTTCTTTCTGGTTTTTTATTGGAGTAAGCAGTGCTTCTACGTGGTTATAACCGAGCTCACAATGCCATGCCAGTCATTTCTTTCTTTCGCCATTTGATGCTTGTCGGCCACACTAAGGAAAGTCAGCTCCTTCTTCACCTGATCTCTTCAATATAATGGATGTCTTCCTTTTCCTTTGATTCCAACGGCGCGTACTGTT